TGTTCTCAGTGGTGGCAGATGACAGAACAAGGAGCAGTGGTCTCCAAAAAAAAAATAGTAAAGCATTGGAACCCGTTACACAGAGAAGTTATGGATTCTCCATCCTTGGAGGTTTTTAAGACTTGGCTAGACAAAGGTTTTCCTGGGCTGATCTAGTTGAGAAGGGTCCTGATTTCAGCAGGGGGTTGGACTAGATGACCTTCTGGCATGTATCCAGATGTGTGTGGACATTTGGTTCCCTGGGGACAAGTAGATATCCAGGGGTCGAAAAAACCAGAGCAGTGCACGCTCAGTCAGCATGCAATTGCAGTGCGGAGAACACAGGACTTTCCAGTATGTGGCACTTCAAATATACTGCAGGAGCATCCTTATCCAAACTATCCCATACACTCCATAATCTAAACTCTGTAAGATTACCGTCAGCCTTGACATAACACAGACCTAACATCCTAACCTGCCGCAGGTAAAGTCATATGCCTGCAGCTAATGCAGAAATCTTAAAATGCGAACAAAAAGTACAGACCTAACTTGGAAGATCTAGCTTCTCCTGTAGAAATGATCATGTAAGCATAGCTGCAACACAGCTATTAAAGTGGCAAGAGAAAAGACTTAATGTTAGCCATTTACAAAGGTATGTTAAAAAGCCCACGTTAAGACTAGGTATCAGTCACGGTGCTGCTGTGCTTCCTCAGCCTGTGATAAGATAGTTTCTAAATCCAGAGTGGTGAGAACAATCCACATTGGAGCTGACCCCTGCTCATGTTTAAATATTGTTATTTTGGTCACCTGCAGAGGTTTTTAAGAAGCCCCATATGTTTATTATGTTTTAGGGTATTTATTTATATGTTACAGGATGATTTAATACCAGGCCTACATTTTGAAGTTTTGTTTCTTCAGCATCAATTTTCAATAACTATTTATTGTTAAGACACAAATGTTTGTTGTATTTGACTTATCGGTATCCTTTCATATGGCAAATAATTATCCCAGAAAGGGCTATTGGAGAACATGGCTCAGTGGAATCGTTTTTTTTCTTCAAACTTGACACGTTGCTTATGCTAGATCTGGCTGGGTTCCCTTGGAGGGTCTAGTTAGTTTACCCAGTTAGTTTAATAACGTTGTGTGCAAGTTTACAGTTTAGGGCTGTATTAAATCACCATAATTTCAAGTAGCTGTAATGTAAGCCATAGTCATTATTATTTATTATTTTTTATTCGTTTCCGAGAAGCAATCCTAATACTATACCATACCATACATATGTGCATGCAGCTTCCATTCATCTCATATGTGTATCTATCCTCAGAATTAGTAACAAGAATAGTTTCTTTAAAAATTATTTTAATAAGACTAAAGTGATTCAACTGCTCTGCATTTTTTCCTTCAGGGGCAAATCTTCAGTGATTTGCATTGTTGGTCAGTTTGTTACTGGCTGTGGAGTTACTATACATTGTATGATGCCTGTTATGATCCATTAAGGCTCCTTTTTTAAGGCATTGATTTTCTAGACGTTGTCCAAGGCTAGTGCAGTCCTAGTTGCTGACTTATTAACATTGGATCCTAATTGGTTAATACTGCTTCAAAAATGGCAGTTACCCAAATGAGTCATTTTTGTTGTAGCAGGTCAGAACCTTGTTTTGTTGTCAACTTCTTGCATAAACATCAAATCATTTAGAACTTGTTGGCCAGACGTTTGATCTCAAAACACTTCTGCAAGGTAGCAGCTGAGCTAAGAGCTGCTTTTTCAGTGTTTACAAGTGTCACTGTGGTTTTTATTTTTTAGTGTTAAATGTGTTGCTTGAGCGAGTATTAAGTGAGAGGAGATCAGCTCTCTCCTCATACAAATTCAGTCCTTGAGCTGTGCTGGGATTGCCAACAAGGACACCAGTTGTCACGAGGGCACTTGTCCAGCATCTAATGGACCAAGAGTACCAATTTATTTCACAAAAAGTAGGTCACTAAGGAAGCAGTAGATAGCAATTCCTCACCAGTGACTTGAGCAGGTTTTGAGCCAATTCTTTTCTCTCTCCTTAGTGATCAGCAGGGATCTTGGTTTTCTCTGATTTAAAAAAAACAAAAACAAAACAAAACAAAAAAAACAACTTCAGTTTTCAAATTAAAAAAAAAAAAAAGTAACCCAATATCCGCATTTTTATGTGATTTAAAATGAAACATCACTAATATATTATTGAAAGCCCTGTTGTTCATTATTTTACTAACTGGCATTTATATTAGAGAGAATTTCTGACTGGCCGGCCGGACACAAACGGTGGGGGGAGGGGTGGGGGTGTATGGAAAGCTCGCATGCCGCCACTGCCACCCGCCACTGCCACCCACACAGACACTGCCGCTCTGTGTGGTCGGAAACCCTTGTGCCGCAGGTAACCAGCATTTTTAGATTACCGGCACCCCCCATTTCCCACTCATGCTGGATAACAGGGCTATTACTCTGTGTGCGTCCGTGTGTAGTGTTGTTTTATTTTAATGATGGAAAAATGCGGATTTTGGGTTACTTTTTTTTAAATCTGAAACCTGTGGAACCAGGATCCCTGGTGATCAGCTGCAGCATACAGTCCATCTGTCCTGTCATAAGCCCTTTTGTATTCTCTATTTGAGTTTTGTTTCATGGTGCAGGTCTTTTTACCCCATGTCTATATCTGATTTAAGAGTATGTTTGTAACCACACCATGCATTAAAACCAACTAGAGTGTGTGGTCCTAGCTATTGAGTCAAGAGCCATCTTCAGCAACTCATTCTAGTTAACCAGTTCTAGGAGGATGCATATTTTCCCAGATTAACTGATACCTGCATGAAATGTTGAGATCCACAAAGACTTCGATGGCAGGATAGACATCAACTTCAAGACACTGCCCATGAAATCCTTTTGTATTGTATTTGGTACTTTCCAACAAAGCTACAAACTGTGGGTCCTAACCTAAGGGCAGAAGAGATGAGGAACTTCTTAAATGATCTCCATGTGGTTAGCTGCCTCATGTATTCCAAGACAGGCAAAAATATAATGGCTTCTCCTGCATATCTTCTTCTGCATGTGGTTTCTGGTTTGCCCATTACTGTTGAAACGGGACCTATGTTGTCATCCAGCTAATGATTTTCATTATGTCCAAAATCTGAATGTAACAAACAGTAGGAAAAATAAAATCTTTGGCTTATTTGGGAGAGAAATGATCCTCTTTATTGTATCTCTGGAGCATGTTTTAACAAATTTTCCTGTCTTTGTAGTGGTGGGACATTGACAGTGCTCACTTCCCCCTGCTTTACCTGCAGGAAGTTAAAGAGTGTTTTTCATGTTTTGGGCATTATGCTTGGTTGTTGTGTGTAAGGTCTGTTTCTGAAGTTTTAAGAATAGATTAGACCCATGCTTCTTAACCATTTTGGACTTGAGGCATCCCTTTATGAATTGAGTGGAACCCAGTTTCAAAACTCATTTATATATTATAGTGCAGGGGTCAGCAACCCCCGGCACGCGTGCCAAGCATGGCACACACGGCCATTTTGCTTGGCACACCACCCCCCGCCCCGCCGGGCCTTAAGGCAGCTGCGGCCAGCCACAGAGCCCAAGCTGCTCCCAGCAGGTGGCTGGGAGGCTGCAAGCCCTGCTGCAAGCAGACGGGGCTCCATGGGCCGGCTGTAGCTGTGCGGCTGCAAACAGCTGCACTGGGCTCCGGTATGTCGGCACTCCGGCACCTTCCAAGGTAGACATTGTAGTTTTTTTGATGCTCCAGCCAAAAAACATTGCCTATCCCTATTATAGTGTTTACCTCCTTATAGAAGGGACAAGCAGTGGGGATGGGGGCCTGGTGTGGCAGGGACAAGCTTGAGCTTGTGCTTGTCTGCTCACACCTCACTGATTTCCTTACACCTTGTGGTACCCTTGAAAGAATTTGATGGAACCCCAGGGTGCCACATATCTTGGTTAACAATCAGTGGATTAGACAAACTTATTTGTTTAGAATGATTTAGGGATGGCCCTGCCTTGATCATGGGGTTAGACTAGATGACCTTCTGAGGTCCCTTCCAGTCCTATTTCTCTGTGATTAAAAAAAAATCTAGTTTTATGATGTATTCATTCTGACATGATTGGCCAAATTGTTAAAAGTAAGAATTTAAAAGATGGATGTTACATGAAGTTCTCATTTAAATGCAAAATTAAGTACAACATTTACTCTACAGGCTTTGTTCTGCATGTATATAGCACCTAGCACATGGGGCCTCCGATCTGTGGTTGGGGCCTCAAGTTACAAACTAATGCAAATCAAATAACAAGATGATGCAAAAATTTATCTTTAAAATCCTCTAAAATGAACTTCACGTGGTAGGACAACAGAAGGAGTTATAACTAACAAAGGAAAAATGATCATATGTATGGTGAATATTTCCAGTTTTGTTCTCTGAGTTTTTTTAGTTACTAGAATCTGGTTCATAGATTCATAGATGTTTGGGTCGGAAGGGACTTTAGCAGATCATCGAGTCTGACCCTCTGCCCTGGGCAGGACAGAGTGCTGGGGTCAGATGACCCTGGCCAGGTGCATGTCTAGCCCTCTCTCAAAGACCCCCAAGGTAGAGGAGAGTACCATCTCCCTTGGAAGCCCATTCCAGATTCTGGCAACCCTTACTGTAAAGAAGTTCTTCCAAGGGGTGCCCTGGTAAACAGAGCATCTCCTATTCCTTGTTGCCCTACCCCTCCCCCCGATGAATTTGTAGGTGGCCACAAGAGCACCTGTCAGCCTTCTTTTGCGGAGGGTGAAGAGATCCAGGGCCCTCAATCTCCCCTTGTAGGTCTTTGCCTGCAGGCCCTTAACCATGAGTGGCCCTCTGAACCCTTTTGAGGTTGTCCACATCCCTCTTGAAGTGTGGCGCCCAAAACTGGACGCAGTTACAGAGGATTCTCATTGTTAGAAATTCTTATCCAAAGTAAATGAAGACTGCAAAACTAAAGCTCATTTTTATGTGCATAGCTAACATTTGTGTATATTTTAATTAAGGTTGTATGTCTTACCTACTAAGAGCCTCATACCCCAAGAGAAATCAATGAGTCCCCTGCAGTGGTGTAGACACTTTTTGGATCATCCGACTCCTGAGATAGAAGCCGCAAAACGTTCCCTGTGCTTTAGACTGGAACAAGGTAATTCTTTTCATTTCAGTTTGCTTGAATTTTTTTTTTAACTAAGTCAGTATCTGTTTTTGGTAAGTCAGTGTAAAGTTCTTTATGAAGTTCTATAGCTTCAGCTCCTTTCTGTGTTTAGCGAAAGGGAGAAAGAGTGGTGTAATATAAGGCTGCTGACATGTGAGGGGGAAAAAAAGCGCTTTACTGGAAGAGGCATTGCATTAGTTCAACCTGACTTCCCAGCATCTGTATAGATTGCATGCTTCAGCGGGGCTTTTTGGTGCTTTTATCTCGCAGCTGAATGAATCAATCAGTTTTTAGATAAAAGCATCAAAAAGCCCCACTGAAGCGCGTGATCTGTACAGATGTTGGGTGAACCGGTTCCAACTAACGCGATACCTCTTTTGGGCATGTGCTGGGCTTGGCATGGGAGCACGCCAAGCTTAAAGTAAAGCACTATTTTTTTTTTTTTTCTCTTCACGTCTGTAAGCAGTCTAATTGTATAAGCCGCCTCTTGTTATATGAATGATACCTGTGATGAAAGGTTTTGCTTAATATGCATTTGAATGATCTCCTCCTCTTCCTCTATTCAGCTCCTAATTTCTAACATCCTGTTAATTCCCAGGCACCCCAGTTTCCTTAACACAAGGGCTAGTGGTTTTTAGTGAAAGAAATATTGGATGGGCACAAATGGAGCTCTGTACTTGTATAAAACCCTACGCACCATGGTAAGATTCCATGTTGGTGCAATGATGTACCTGTGTGCATTTTGTTTAACAATAAGAGTGTTGTTTGTAGAAAAGACAAACCAGAAATCTAGCTTTAATTTATAATAATATTGTTTAGGACTTTCAGTTCTTTGAAAATCTGGGGCCAGATTCGTGGCTAACATACAATTGCGCAGTGTCAGTGAACTGATATGGAATTATACCTGCAACTGGTAAATTCGGATCTCTGTATATACTGCAGTTGTAAATATAAATCAACCATTCTATTTTTATCATTTTATTTATTTCTTCCATCATGCCAGCTTCCAAGCTAAGTTGCTAGTATGCTGGGTGCTGTTTCTGGCCTAAAGAGTTTATAGTCCAGTCTTGGAAAAGGAGTACTCAGTGAGTGTATGCTATAAACAATATGAGGGGGAAGGATGGGAGGAGGAGAACAAGGTTAATGGTAATGGAGGCATGTAGTCATGTAAACTAGCTGGTAGACTGAGCCTTTACAGCCCTTAAGCACATTCTTCATTCCAGCTGCTTGGAGTTAGTAATTGCATGTTTCAGTTGTCTGAAAAGTAAAAGGCAGTTTTTGCATCACAGAAGCCAAGAAGGGGTTTACCATTTGCTTCGGTGGAAGGCAGAGTGGGGCCATACAACTTAATGGTTTCAAATTGCTTGAAAATATGTAGCTGTCTAAATAAATAAATAAATATCACCTATTTTTTTATCTGTCTCAGCCTAGCCATAATACTTGGGCTGTTTAGTTTGTGTGTGTCATAGCACCAGTGGGTCTTGCGTGAAGTATTTGAAATAAGAGCTGGGCATGTCCTAATGATTTGGTTAGGGAATGTCTGTGTAGTTTCAGAGTTTACTTAACAAATCTGTTGATGATGCACAAGCCAGAAAAGAATGATTTACACTCATGTTTTGGTAAAACTCATCACAACACAGATCTTAGTTAACATAACTTTTTGGTTTGATTTAGTTTATTTTGGTAAAGTTTGAAGCTCTTAGTAATAAAACAAAGTCCAGATGCAACCCAGCCTGTCTTTTGCTGCCATTCTTAGTTTTAAATAATATAAATAATATTAAACAAAGGCACACAACGGTAAAATTGTAGACTCATAATGAAGTCATTCAGGAATTGATTGCTAAAAGAGATGGGTGGTCTTTCATTTTCCCCCAACCCACTGTTTAAATCAAATGGACAACATCATTTCTTTCTCAATTTTTTTCCTAAATAGTCAGAAAAGTATGCAAGTTACTATCTCTCTAGTTATTAGGTTGTAATCCTTCAACATCTGAGAAGTCATTACAAATGTTGATGTATGACTTACTATTATACCCTCCAAGGTTATATGCAGCTTCATGTCACTTTCATCCATATATTCTAATTGTATGTCATTACTTCATGAAATACAAGGGTTCTGTAAATAACTTCTGAGGCTGTATATTCTCTTCAAAAGATGTGCATAAATCCCATTATGGGAGCTATATATTAAAGGAGAAAATTGTTTCCAAAATGCTCTTAATTGCAAATATTCTGTGATAGAATTGTTTGTTGTTATTAATTAACACTCTCACAGATGAGAGTTATTTTTTCCTATAAATAATAGTTAATCAGGAAATGTTACTTGGAAATGCTAGCAATTCTAAGTGTAACGTAATATAACTAGATTATGAATAGATTGCATGTTTGTTTTTCCCCATTTTGAAACAGGATGAGACAATTGGAACAAACTGGTAATTTAAAAAAAAATAAAGCTGGCTTTCCATAATACAATTTTCCTAATTTTATTTTTTGTTACTGTCAATTGATGGTCATTTATACACACATGCACCATTTGATCCTAATTTTAAAAAGTAGTCCTGTAAAAATAGCACTTTAAGGTTCCATAATGATTCTGTTTAGGGGATGGTATCTCAGTTTACAAGGAAAATAATGCAAACATGGTGGGATTTAAAATTCTGGTTGTGCTGTATCTGGGTGGCATGTAATCATTATTAACTGATCTTGTTGAGAAATATGCTGGTGTACTCAGTGCATTTGCAGTGTAAAAATATGTCCTCTTGTAAAGAAAATATTTGTTTTTTGGAATTTATGGGGCAATTTTGTTGATGATGCATGATTTCAAAAGAAACCTAGTGTAGATTTCCATAGATATTAGTTCTATAATGCTAACAGGAGTAGAAGCCAACAAAAACATTATTTTTGTCACAGAAGTCAGCACAAATGATTAAATATGCTTGGGGAGCACAGCTGTGAACTGTATGTAGCTACTGTTTGGCTATTAATGTTTTGTACCATTCAGAATCTAGTTTTGGTAGTGTTGGAGTGAGTGGTGTTGTAGCTGTCATGGTCCAGGATGTCTGCGTGAGGCAACGATTTTTGCGGGTGTTATCTATTATTGGAGCAAGTGCATGGTTGGGATGAAGTTAGATAAGCTTTTGAAGGCAAGGCATAGACCTGATGAAAAATGCCTTGTATTCAAAGGCTTTTTTAACTTCATTCAACCATGTGGTTTAATTCACAAAAATCTTTGCCTCTTGCAAATCTAGTTTTTGGCTAACATACTGTTTTACCTGACTTAGCTCAGTTATTCCTGCTTTTTGCTCCATGCTCCTTTTCTTGAAAGCTTGTCCTTTTAGTGTTTTTACTTCTAGTTTATAGAAGTTTACTATCTCTTTTTGCATCAGTTCTCTTCCCCAACCTTGAATGTTGCTGTCCCTGCTTTTAATTCTTTTGGGTCAGCTAGACCACATGTGCATCTTTCCAGTATGATGGAGCCTGTGTTATATTTTGTAAGTAGCACAATGGAAGTAGTCAGTGTAACTATAATGATTTACACTCCAGTTGTGAATATGCCCTGTAACTTCACAGCTGTAGAATGCCAAACAGTTGCACAGTGGGTAAACCAAAGAGCTAAGAGGCTTAAAAAAGGAGTCTGTCTAGAGGAGCACAGTTATGATTTCAAGGCCTGAAGAAAAGCTATCCCTTCTAACTCAGCCTTATAGGCAGCAAAGCTCATTCTCTTGGAGAGTGTGGAATATTATTTAGATGACAGAGCTCATGCTAGCTTAGTTCTCTTTCCTCGAAAAACACCACTGTTTAAAAACAACAGGGTATGATCTTGTTCCACAGAAGTCAGTGGAAGTTTTGCCACTGCCACAGCCTTTAATTTTATAGTCTCTGTCTGTCTGTCTCTCTGTGTCTGTTCCGTTCTCTGTCTCTTCTCTTAGTGATAGAAATGGTTCTTCACGTATTGCAAGGAAAAGTGTGCTCCAAACTAAAAATTACTGCCTATATATGTTTCTTGGAAGGGAAGGCACATTTTCACACTGAAACAACTATATAGCTGCTTATCTTTAACGGTTTATGACTTCCTTAGCATCTCTCTGAAATCATGGCTTTTACTGCATTCATGCACATAAAGAATTGGACAGTTTTTTGCCAGTTGGATGGCATTTGGACAGTTTGAAGTCAGTTTAAATGAGATATATACCTAGTACAGAACTTCAAAAGTCAGGAAATGGAAAAGCTCTGTCATAACAGTATGGACCCTCTACCCCATCAGATGGTGACCTGTACATTATCACTAGCATAACCTCTATTTCAAACTTCCTGCCTCTACAGAAACAGTTCCAGTTCTGATCTTCTGACCTTCCTTCATCTCTGATCTTTCTGGAAAAAAATACACTTTTGGTTAAGTAGTCAAACTGTTTCGACTCCTTGTCTAAGCACAGACAGTCAAAAAGCCCGAGGCTGAATCAATTCACTCATTGCAGGTTAGTTTAAACTGTAGAGATTAAACTGAGAAACAACTGGACAGACCTTCACTTTTGATTCAGAAAATGCTCCAGAATTACAGCAGCAGGACTCTGCAGGGTTGCTCATCACTTCCGTTTCCTGCTTCCAGGTGCCTCTGGTATTTGTAATCCATAGTCTCAGCCAGCAGTAAGTTTTTAGCAGGGTAGGGCAGCTCTGTACTCAGGGCAAGGGAAGTTTAACCACCCTTCCTGGCCCCAGACCCCAGCAGGAGTTTGTCCTCCTTCACCCTCCCAACCCTTCTCTGCTGGAGCAGACAGCACGGCCCAGCCCAGGGCTGAAAAGCATGCTGGGATGTTGGGGGGACCATGATTTAACTTGAACCAGGAAGGGGCCTGGGACAGAAGTTTCATAAACTGGTTTGACCCAAATCGGTTAAGTCTGATACTGCATTCAACCAGGTTTATCTTTGTGAGCGTGTGCCCGTCCCAGGTATCCGGTTTTCAGGTAACTCCCCCCCAATTCCTGCCTGCCAT